CACACACACACACACACACACACACACACACACACACACACACACACACACACACACAAATACAGTTTGTGAGAACTGAAAAGGCGTAGAAAGAAAAGAAGCTAAAAGGCTTTTTAAAAGGACCTGACACACTCATTCAGTTTATTCCAAGCAGAGGCCATCGTTTCAGTCTGACTGGATCTGCAGCTGCATGAAAGAGGAAAGTCTCTTTCTGAGGTTCTGTTTTCTTCAAACCATCAACTACACCTCATGGATTTCTCTCTAAATGAACATGAAGTTGAAGAAACTCTGAGAATGTTTAATGATTCTTTATGTGCATTGTTGGCCCGTCCAGAGGTTTGGGGGGAAATGTTTGTCCGTGAAGAGCTGAGACATGTGGATCACTAAAACTATTCATCCAATCAGCACTGAGTGAGGAGTGTCTGTTTGGCTGCAGTTTTAATATTTACCATCACTTCCCTGGGTGTCTGTTAAGATTTAAGGTCTTAACAGTAAAGCTAAAATGTGACTTTATTGGATAAATAAACTGGTATGTCTTTATAATAAGTTCAGTGCTTTGTGAACATCTTAATGGTTTTATAAACACTTTATACTAAACTACAAACTAAACACACTTTAAACTATACCATACCATTTGTTATGGTTTAGTTAATTAATTTTCCTGTTTCTTGTCGCTGTTCGCTGCCATTTCTCATTTTCTCCTTGAGTCTTCTCTGTGTGTTTTCTCACTCCTTGAGCCACTCTCGCCTGTTGTCACTCCCCAATCAGCCTAGCTGCCTTCCATGTCCTCATCAGATTATTCCGATTTATTCCGTCTTCTGTCTCTTCCACATCAGTGCTTCGATGTCCGAGCTTCTGTTAGATGTCAGGCTCTCCCCTTGTTACCTGCGTTCACCAGCCTCCGTCCTCATCCTCCTTGGTTTATGTGCCGCCTTTGACACCATCGCACAAACCATCCTGACTGACAGTCTGTCACATTTTGGTATTTCAGATACACCCCTTATTTGATTTATTTCATATCTGTCTTTCAGTTTGTTTAATTAAAATCATTTACCTCCCATCCATCAGCTCTCTTTTCTGGTGTTCCACAAGGTTCTGTCCTTGACTCTCTTCTTTCTATCATCTACCTTCTTCCACTTAGCAAAATCTTTCCCAAACTTTATACTGTATTCAATTCCAAAGTTACACAGATGACACCCAACTCTTTGCTTTTTCCTTTTGTTTTCTGACATATTTTATATTGTATTTTAATGTACCTTGAGTGCCATGAAAGGCATTTATCATTTATAAAACATTATTCATTCGAAGCAGGCTCACTAATGGGCAAGATAATATGCTGTAATTTCATTTTTTTTCATAACTGAGATGTTAAATACCAAACATTTCTCAAAACGTTTTACATACAAAGTTCATTTTGGCAACAGAAGTTATTTAGTTTAATAAATTAGCTCAGCAACTAATTTGTTAGCCTGTTGCAGTGTATGAACAATGTTTTTTAAAATGTTTTCTGATTGCTTCATAAATTCCTTACAAACTCATGAATAAAGCATTGGTCGTGTAGTTCTCATCCTCAGGATATAATCAGCATTGAGACTTAAAAGTTTATGTAGTTTTAAGAAATGTCGTTCTTGGTATTCAAAGGTTTTGACTGTTTCAAGAGAAATGAAAGAACGTTCTGTGAGCATCAAGATTAAAGTTGAAGAACACAAAGTTTGGGTGAACTTTATAAGGACAATAAGTTTCTAGGAATTCAACGTTGCAGCATGAAAGTCTTTTATGAAAATAGGATGAACAGAATCATATATTTCACTGAGCTACTGGAATATCAACCAGAAGTCAAAATCATGCAATTGTTTTTTATAAAGCTGTTGAAAATGTAAAATAAATCTAAAATATGTAGAACCAAACACACAATTACACTGTGTAATTTTTCCTCTTGAGCTCATTTGGTTGTTTGATTAAATCCTTCTGAATTCGTCAATTGTTGGGCTGCTGTGAAGGTCAGAGAAGGGTTTGAAGTGTTTGTGAAAATCCTTTCCACTTTTTAGCTCTTTGTACTTTTTGGAGGTGAAACCTTAACCTCCCTGGAGAGACTCTGACCCTCAGGCTGGAATGAATAAAATTGTGTTTTGTGACTGTGAATAATTCTAAAATGTCATTAAAGAGAGTGGAGCTGCAGCTTTGGACAGAGTGAAGTTATGCCGATGTTTTAAACATTACAGTGCATTGGTTTATGCGTTATGTCTCTGGAGAATCCTGTTATTATGACACAAAGATGCATTGACTGACATATTTACATCCATGTTCGTAATGTGTGACACCAGCATTGTGTGAACACACACTCACTGAAATGTGCGAAATAATTTTTCCCTTCTGTATTTGTAATAACTTGCCTTTTTACCATTTTGGCAACAATGTTTTTGTCACTCTGCACACGTGTGTGTGTGTGTGTGTGTGTGTGTGTGTGTGTGTGTGTGTGTGTGTGTGTGTG